AGGGTTTAGGGTTTAGGGGAACATATTTCGGATCCTGGCGCCGGGTTGAGTTTCCATGCGCAGGGTCAGTTCAGGGTTCAGGGGTTCGAGGATCTGCGAATGTCTCAATCCTTCAGCCTTTAAGAATATAGGGGCCTTAATAATTACCTATGTTATTTTGGAGGCTCCTTATTATATGTATAGTATAATGGGCCCCAAAACCCTATTCTAATGATTAAGGCCCTTATATTAAACCTGTAGAACTGCTTGATGCGCACATGAAGCGGCCTGCGCTGGTCGCACCACGAGGTATATTTCACAGTGTGGCCTGAGAGGCCGCACAGGCCTCGAGTTCGCAGATGTCTACACGCCCAAAATCCAGGGATCACACGCCAAGAGTAAGAGCACCAAGCTAACTAGCAATTGTATTTCCTTGCGGTCTCTATATATGAATAGTATAATACACCCCCACGTGTTGAGACCCATAGAATGAGACCTAAATTATATACCTTAGCATGCAAAAGGGTTCGCAATCTCATGTAAGTACACTCCGCATCAAACGGCAACGTGCCCACTGAACCTCAACAGCCTTCTGAAGCGTATGAAGACTTCGAGCAACCCTCTCGTAGAAATCTCGATGAAATCCTCCAGAAGGATCTTTTGAAACCCTGCAGAGACTCGACTCGACAAAGCCGTCTTAAACAAGCTATGAAACCGTACAGACATTCCCGAAAACCTTTTCCCCAACCATATGCCACCTTAGCAACATAAAGACTCCATGCTATTGCTAATGCAAGCCCTGCGAAGCCTATAAAGACCCCAAGCAACCCTCGGCAAAAAGCTCCTATGAAACCTTGTAAGGGTCTGTGACACCTTCAATCCTACAGATACTCGAGCCCTACAGAGACTCGAGAAAAACTTGCACAAGCGTTGACCCCATGAAACCCTTTCAATGTTCAAGGCCCTGTCCAACCCACCTTAGAAAAACATTATAAGTTCATACAGAGACTGTATACAATCCTTGCGAAAACCGGAGGAGATCACCCTGAATCCTAAACCCTTACAAAAACTTTAAAACAGGAGATCAGGGACCCGGATCCCTACAAGCCGGTGCTGTGCTTCCAGACCTTCTGGAGCCCGGAAGCTCAGAGAGCCCAAGTGGCGTCTTTGAAGGTGTTTTTTTCCGAGTGGTTTAGGGTTAAAGCAATTAGGGTTCAGGGTTTAGAGATAAGGGTTTAAGTTGTTTTAGCGAGCCTTTACTACAAGGTACAATTTGTTTAGAGCTGTTGTATAGGTTTTTGAGTAGGCTTTTTGCGGGGTGCACCCAGGAGCAGAGAGGGCTTGGTTTTGTAAGACCCCATTTACCCCAAACCCTAAACCCTAAACCCTAAGCCTAGACAGGGCGGAGTGAAAGTCCAGCGCACCTCAAACATAAACCTACTTGGAGGTTCATGGGTAGTTATAAGTAGGGTTATAAATCCCCTAATCTGGGTTATGACTATAGCTACCCTACTTATAACCCTTATAACTACCCATGAACCTCCAAACCCTAAATCCGTACTCCCTAAACCCTAAACCCTAAAAGCCCTAAATCCCTAATCCCTAAACCCTTCTCTTTATAGTTGCCCATGAACCTCCAAGTAGACTCTGAAAGCAGGTGCCGCCCGCAGCTGCTACACGCGAACGTTGGCCAACGGCACGCAGGATTTTTCTTTCAAGCCAACGAGGTCGCCTGGGATGTTTAGAAGCCAAGGTTTGCTAGGGTTTTGGGGTTTGGGGTTTTGGAGTTTAGGGTTTTGGGGTTTGGGGTTTGGGGTTTTGGGGTTTTGGGGTTTTGGGGTTTTGGGGTTTGGGATTTTGGGGTTTTGGGGTTTAGGGCGGCTTAGAGTTTTGGGGTTTTGGGGTTTGGGGCTTAGGATGTAGCCGAACTTCCCAACAGAAAGTCATTGATTCCACTACTTCCCTCCCTCCCCCACCTCCCCTGCCCGACCGCGCCTCGCAACAATAGGCTTTATACAGACAGGGGAGTGAGAACGCAGGTTTTAGGTGTTATGGTCTAAGTCTAGGACATTTTCAGGTGGGTAGTTGCCGTTACAGGAGCCTTATAGAAGGTCTATATACCTTATAGAAGCCTTACAGAAGCCCTATATACCCTAAACTCCCCACCTGTAGTGTCCTTTTACTAAGCTTTGTTCGTCACAGCCCACCTAGTCAGGCTTTACAGCTAGGTTTTTTGCGTTATTTTATGGAATTTGGTGCCTTTTTTCGATTCTGTGGATTTGTTGCTTTTCTTCCATGCGACTCGTCTTGTGAGTCTTGTGATGCTTCAGCGATAGCTTTCTGCCTCCAGCTGCCAGGGCACAGCGTCTGATGCGTGGCGAGGCCGCCGCAAGCATGAAGCTCAACACCTTGATGGTGTGACGTTTTGGCATGTGTGGTACGGACTTTGTGGAAATTGGGAGGGAGTTCGACTGTTAGTGTGAGCATCTGCTTGGCTGCTTGTTTGTTGCCTGTTTGTTGGAATCTGTGTGTGTGTGTGTGTGCGTTTTGCAGTTGTGGCTGTAGCTGTGGGTTCAGTTGTCGTTCTAGTTGTAGTTGTGTACATGCGGGAAAGCGTGCTTGCTTGTTTGTTTTCTTGCTTGGTTATTTGGTTGTTGGCTTGCTTGCTTGCTTGCCTGCTTGTTTGTTTGTTTGTTTGTTTGTTTGTTTGTTTGTTTGTTTGTTTGTTTGTTTGTTCGCTTGCTTGCTTGTGCCGTGCGCTCCATTGATTGTTTCGCGTCTGTGTTATCCAGTGCAAGATATCCCGAGGACAGGAAGCCACGGATTGCACTGCCGCAGCTTTCTTGAGGTGTTGAGTAACGCACGAGGTCCTCCCATCCAGTCATGGGCAGTCATGAGACAGAACCGGCCATGGTTTGTAAGCGGACGCAGCATGACCTGCAGTTCGCGCATACCGAGGACAACGTACTTGTCAAGCGCAGGCGTGACAGCAGCGAAGACCAAGTGGTCGAGAGGAGGGAGCAGGCGACGTATATGAAGCAGATACAAGGGTTGGAGATGCAAGTCATGACACTCACCGCCCAGAACAAGGAACTGGTGGCGTGCATGAAGACAATGCTGGAAAACCAGGAAAGGCAGCAGCAGAAACTGGACGAGATGGGGCGGCAGCAGGGATTCCTGATCACGCAGACGATGAGCTTGCGCCAGGGCTTCATGGACAGGGAGGATAGGGTCGTGGAAGCCATCACACGCCCTACCGGTGATTTCATCAAAGCCGTGCGCCGAGCGGCTGCTCCCGTTCGAACGAAGCAGAGGAAGCCGCCCAACCCGGCGGATTTCCCCGAGGAGCAAAACGCAACGCAGGAAGAGCTGCGCCTGGAGTGTAGGCCGCTGCCCGAAGCAATGCAGGAGGCGCTCACGAAGCCGCACCGCACTGCACTGAACTTCACCCGCACCACGAAGACCAAGCTGACTCTCCAGACCTGGAAGAGCATAGCCGGTCCGATCGGCAAGGCGTTAAAGCAGTTGCGACTTGCAGACCCCGACTGCGAAAAGCCCCTGCGTTGGTCCAACGAGGGTCCACCTGTCCTGCGCTATGTTTGGTCGCAGGACGAGCTTGAGAAGTACCTGCCACAGGTGCTTGACCAGAAAGTTACCAGTGCAAAAGCCAAGACACCCGAGACGTGGAGGCAGACAATCGAGCGCAAGTGCCGAGAAGACCTGGATCCCATCACGTGGCCATGGCCCAGTGGCAGCGGCAACCACTTCTTCCCAGTTGACACATGACCAAAGTGGGGTGTACAGAAAAAGCAAAGCCCCAATCGCTAGTGCTACAGGGGCTACGGCATCTGCAGGCACAGCAGAGCGTGGCTTGCTTTTGTTTGATGCTCAGCTCATCTTAGCTGTTTCGATGTAGCTGGTTGTGTACATGCTGGAAGGGCTAAGACTGAATGGCAGAGCATGCAAAGATCTGTTGCGACCTGTCCTGCTTTCACAAGCCCGTTTACAAGAAGCGAGTTAGTCGTGGTTGCACAGAGCGCAGCCGTTTCTTGTGAAAGGCAACAGCCCAGCGGCACAGGAAAAACCGTAAAGTTGGAAAGCGAGGCTCCTGTCGCATGCCAGCACAGACTTGGACTCATCATTCCAGAACACCACTCCTCCAGTTCCATGGCTCGCAGGTGCGAGTGCTGAAGCATCTTGCCTACGCCGGCTCCTTGAGAATGGTGTCAGATCGACTTCATGAATCGTAGATGGCTTCATGAGCTTTTGGTCCAGGGCTGACAGCAATGAGAAAGATAACATGTCAGAGTGCATGTAGGCGTTTTTGTTTTACATGGAGCCCAGAGAGTCTTCAAGAGAAGGGCAGGGGCGTTGATTTTGGGCATCTACTCACATGCAGATCATGAGACAGTGAAGACTGCAGTATTTCCGTGCCGTTCATCCCACGAGATACGGAGCAACATTCGGTCCTGGTGTAGTGTAGACAACTTCGACAACAACAAAGAGAAAAAAGAAAGCAATGAGAAAAGTAATCCCTTAATGCTAATTTGGAAGATAGAAATAATGATATTCCAATAATACGAACATGAAAGTTGGGTGTAGGGTTTAGGATTTAGGGTTTAGGGGTTTAGGGGTTTAGGGGTTTAGGGTTTAGGGTTTAGGGGTTTAGTGCTGTGCGACATCGCCGTCAGCATCCGAAGCCGCAGGAGCCCCTGGAGTCCCCAAGCACCAAGCCTCCAGTGCTTACACTCGAAACCTGCATCCCGCAAATGCAGAAGCTTGAGAGTTTAGGGTTTAGAGTTTAGGGTTTAGGGTTTATTTAGGGTTTAGGGTTCAGGGTAGGGTTTAGGGGTTCAGGTGTTTGGGGGTTTCGGGTTCAGGGGTTTTGTTCCGCGACAACAACTGAAAAACCGGAAACCCTGAACTGCTTGCAGGCTTCAGCTTAAGAATCTCATACGATTCCCAGTCCCTGACCCTCTAAACTCCAAGCTCAAAGTCTTCGGGTTTGGGGCTTAGGTTCCAAGAGAAACACACATTTATTGCCGTGTACAGTGATAGCAAACAGATGGGGCATTCCGGAAACCCTGCAGCCCAAAACCCAGGCCGTAAAGCCAACGGGCCCTCAAACCCCGAGGCAGAAGTGGATGGATTGACGAAGGTGTTCGATGAGAACTACTTCGCAAAAGAAGAGGCAGCATGTAGCATGTGGGCAGTTCTCTAAGTTCGCGGCCCTTTTAGGGTCCTGTTTATAAGGGTGCCGTACTATATTGGGGACCTAAGCGGGACCCTAGTTTAGAGAATTGCCATTGTGGGTTTTCGTGGATGCAGGACTTGGGGGATTCGGTCCAGGCTTTTACTTCCATTTGTCTATTGTTTTTTTGCGGGTTCTGGGGTGTGGGCCTTTTGGGACTGAGGTTGTGTATTTCGGATGTAGCTGGGGTCTGAGTGGTGTGATGATTTCGCAGCTGTTTACCGGTTTTCAGGTACAGCTTGAACTCATAATTTCTGCAATGGTGATCGATCCTGTCTGAGCCGCGTGGCTAGACTGTGCTGCTGATCGAGATTGCTTCCAATTCGACTTCGAGAGCGAAAGTGCGCAAAATCTCAACTTCCCGCGCCCGAGCGAGCAAGAACAAAAATGGTTCTGATCCCTTCATCATAGCAACAGAAGTACTCGTCGGAACCAAAGAACCACAGAACACTATAGAGCCCTTGTAGTACCCTTATAGAGACCCTTATAGATCCCTTTAAGGAGCCCTTTAAGCATTCCCGTACTGTCGTTTGGCTTCATGCGCCGGACAGTAGCCTAAGATCCTCAACCCGAGCGCCTGCAGAAAGACTGGACCCTTCTGGAAAGTTTAGGGTTTAAGGCTTTGGGGGTGTAGGGTTAAGGGTCTGGAAAGTTTAACCATTAGCAGCCGTGCGCCTTTAGCACCTAACCCGGCTTTTCCCTAAATTCCGGACCTTGTGGTAGCCCTGGTGCAGGATGCTGCGCAAGCGTGTCGCAGCGCCTGCTATTCTGATCTTGGCTGCCAGCAGCAGTCTCAGCTCGTGCTCGAATTTAATCATTTAGCAGCTTAGGCCATGGGTTTAGAGTTTGGGTTGGGTGGAAAGATCTATTTTTGGCCTCATATCTTTGACGGGTCGTCTTAGATGATCTTACCCCCAAAGATGTTCATACGCGGTAAAGGTTATTGGACTGCGAGTCTGAGGTCAGTGACACTGCATTGTGGTTACTGTTGGTGCTTGGTTGCTCGTTGCGTGCTGCTTGCGGCTTGCCGCATGTTGCTGCTTGCTTCTTGTCATTGTTCTGGCTGTTATTGTTGCTGCCGCCGTAGTTCCTGCAGCTGCGGCAGGCAGCCGTAGCAGTCGTCATCGTCGCCGCCGCCGCCGTCGTCGCTTTATTGCCACTATTGCTATTCATTTTCAGAATATGATGATTCCTATGTTTTACTACCCCTAGTTTTAGTATTGGTATTCGTATTCATCTTCGTGTTATTCCCAGCCATCGTTTCTGTCACTAATTATCATTGCTATTATTGTTCTTGTTATTACTATTGTGCTCATTCTCATTCTTGTTGTTATTATTTGCTTGGTATTCTTAGTGTTATTGTTCTTAGTATGTGCCATTCCTAGTCTTGTGACTCGTACTTTCATTCTCACTTTGAGTATGATCGTAATTATGAGTATAGGGTTATGACTGTTATTACGCTTGTAGGTAATACAGTTGTTACTGTGGTCATTGCGTTTCCTTTCTTATCCCTACTACTAGTTAAGGTTGTTATTAGTAGTCGTGGTAGTGGTAGTAGTCGTGGCAGTGGTAGTGGTAGTGGTAGTGGTAGTGGTAGTGGTAGTGGTAGTGGTAGTGGTAGCGGTGGTGGTAGTGGTAGTGGTCGTGGTGGTGGTGGTGGTAGTAGTAGCAGTAGCTGTAGCAGTAGCAGTAGCAGTAGCAGTAGCAGTAGCGGTAGCGGTAGGAGTAGCAGTAGCAGTAGCAGTAGCAGTAGCAGTAGCAGTAGCAGTAGCAGTAGCAGTAGCAGTAGCAGTAGCAGTAGCAGTAGGCAGCAGCAGCAGCAGCAGCAGCAGCAGCAGCAGCAGCAGCAGCAGCAGCACCAGCAGCAGCAGCAGCAGCAGCAGCAGCAGCAGCAGTCGTAGTGGTAGTGGTAGTGGTAGTGGTAGTTGTAGTGGTAGTAGTAGTAGTCGTAGTAGTAGTAGTAGTAGCAGCAGGAGTAGTAGTAGTAGTAGTAGTAGTAGTAGTAGTAGTAGTAGTTATCGTGTTTCTGCTTCTTGTTGTTGTCGTTGTTCTTGTTGTTGCGGCTGCTGTTGTTGTCGTTGTTGTTGTTGTACAGCAGAAGCACCTTTGGTGTGCCTGTGAATTACAAGATATGGAGAGCTTCGGGTTCCAGGAGGACCCTCCTTCAACGGTTCAAAGTTTGAGGTGTGCCGGCTGCCATCTACCGCATCACAAGTGTTGAGACCGTACTGCTGCATCCAACGGTTTATCGTTTAGGGGTTGGGGTTTAGGGTTTAGGGTTTTTCGGGACCCGATGGCAACTGCTCTGGGCACCGATCTTGACTTCATGAAGCCAACCTCTAAGCCAGGGTTTATGTATAGCCAGCGCGCAAACTTCACATTGACCGTCACCCAAAGTTTCGGGTCATGATATTATTAGTAGTATTCTACTTCTTATCAGCATTATCATCATGATTCTCATTAGGAGAATATATTCGTATTCTTCTCATCATTGGCTTCATTTTGGCCTTGGGTTCCCCCCTAAACCCTAAACCCTAAACCCTATACCCTATAACCCCTAAGCCCTATCCCGGTCGAGAGCTTCGTCTTCTGGGACTGTAGCCATCCTCGCCCCAGGTGGTGGTACTACAATCAAGTGAAAGGCGTGGGTCCTGGTGGAGTTGTTGAAGGTTTAGGGATTTAGGTTTTAGGGGTTTAGGCTTTAGGGGTTTAGGGTATAGGCATAGGGATCTTTGTGGCTTAAGGTTTAGGGTTTAGGGTTTAGGGATCTTTGTGGCTTAAGGTTCAGGGTTTAGGGATCTTTGT